CCCGAATGCCAGATGCATTCGGTGCGAGGCCGCCAGCTTCCCAGGTGTTGCCCGCTGCATCAAAGGTGTTACTAGTAGCATTTTAGATGATACTAGTAGTGTATTCTCAATGATGTTAGCACCATCGAAGATAATGCGAGCAGCATCCTAGATGACGGCAGTAGGATCCCAGGTCATGCTAGTAGCATCGCATATGATGATATCAGCAGCCCATATGATGCTAATAGGACTCCGAGTGATCCTTTCACCAACGCAGGTGATGCTAGTACCATCAGAGGTGATGCTGGCAGGATAGAAGAGTGTGCTAGCAGGCTGAAAAGTGAAGTGTATATCATCTGTGGACAGTGACTATGCGAAACCAAAAGTTGCATAACTGATATCAGGTTCAACGATTGGATTCAACTTTCAAGTTTTACACCACTGTATTGATTTGGACGTATGGTTTAGATCGTATAGGTTGGGACGTATAGATTTAGACGTATAGATTGTGTCGTATAGATTAGGACGTATAGGTTGATACGTATAGATTTGGACGTTTAGGTTGGGACGTATAGATTAGGACGTAAAGGTTGGGACGTATACATTAGGACGTATACATTAGGACGTATACATTAGGACGTATAGATTATGCCGTATAGATTATGCCGTATAGATTATGCCGTATAGATTATGCCGTATAGATTAGGATGTTTGGGTTCGGACGTATAGATTAGGACTTATATGTTGCAGTTGGTTAGGGAATTTACTTGAGATTGGAATCGATAGAAATATAAAAATGATACCTATATCTATGATTTTATTTTATAGAGAAAAAAAATAGAATTGGTAAATGTATAAGTAATTATGTTAAATAAAATAGATGCTATATTTTTTGGTGAAAGATTACTAAAAAATATGAATGATTTAAAATTCACTATTAATTTAAATAGAAGTTTCTATTAAATATAAGTGAAATTAATATGCTAGTTATTTATATTTGTTTCCTTATATAGTTATTTTTTTAAGACCGGGACATGTGGGACATTGAAATTTGTACTGAATAAAAATTTAAAATTTATTTTTTTTTATAAGATAGATAGATTTTTTTCCTAAGTGGGACATGCGGGACATTGATATTCGCATTAGAGAAAAAAATAGAATTTATTTTTTTTTTGTTAGATAGATAGATTTTTTTCGTAAGCGGGGCATGCGGGACATTGAATTTTGTATTAAATATAAAAAAAGAAAAGATAATTTCTTCTTCTTTGAAAACAGATAGATTTTTTGATGCGTGGTATATGACATTTTTGCTTTATTTCTATTATTATAAAAAGGATGTTATTAGATAATGAACGGTTGGATTGATTTTTTCGAAAGGAGTGAATATGTAGTATCGCAAAATAATTATTCTTACATGAATTCTTTTCCGTTATCGGATTGTAAAATTCTCGGTGGACCGAAAGTGTAGAACAGATTTTTCTAATGAAAAGCAACACCACTAGCTTCTTTCGATTTCAACGGAAATAACCAGCTAAACTTCGTAAAATTGTCTTTACAATGCATGATAAAACAAAATGCATTATATGCTGTGCTTCTCATATCAATTAAATCCACTTGTAATCTAGTTAAAAAACCTATTGAAACAATTGGTTTTCCAGCTGGTGGTTTATGAAATGCTCGTCGAACTTGACAGACATCGCACATATTGCGGTATATAATAACAGCTTATTGAGGTATTCCAGCATATTTTTTTTTACCTATTTAAAATGAAATATATAAAAAAAAAAAGCCTTAATAGATTTATTAACCTCGTTCCATGTTTTGTCTCGACCAGGATGGCCGACGCTTGTGTGACAATTATTAATTTTCTCGTACATATTTTCTTCTTTTATCAATGGCAAATTAGATTTTTTATTATATAGTAAATCGGTTGATCCAATTTGCATTAAACGGAATATATGATAAACCCAGAATTCAAACTTTGGGGACATACCTGTATCTTCAGATTTTAAAATTTTCATCGTTTTGTAATACATGTCATTTGTTAATCGTATATTTTTCTCTTTTTTTTATCAAGATTATTGACATATGAGTTTAATTTCGAAATAAATATCCGCATAAAATTTGAATTTGATAAATTAAATATGAGACAACAAATGAAATAACTTAATTAAAAAAGTTATGATAGCAATATCACTGAATCTTCGTTTCGTAGGAACGAACCTCTATTAAGAAAATATAAAATAGAGAAACGATGGTGACACATAGATTTCATATATAAAAATTGTTTTTAATACAAGCTTTTATGAATTGTTCATTTATTAATATCAATCAAGTACAGTATTTATAAAATATCATCTAAGTATAATCTTACAAATACAACGAAAATGAAAATATTCTTAGCTAAAAAGAAAACAGAATAAACATCATAATGCTTTTATAAAATTCTATTTATAATATTCTGATAATATTGAATTTGAATCAAATAGAGTTATTGATGAAGAAAACGACTTTTTTTAATTTTTACTCTTTTTCCATTTTAACGATTTTGTTTTTATTTTCTCTGTTTTTCCTATTTTCAAAGCTGGTTGTAGACTGAAGTTGCGTGTGTCTATGTTTCTCTATTTGTGCTCTATTTCGTTGTGTGTTTTTTTTCGCTCGGTCCAGTCNCGAAGGTGAGGATATTCAGTAAAAATCACAAATTATTTTTTTTCTTTGTGTAGGTTATCGCAATCGGATCAATAGTCAAATTTATAAAAACAATTCCGATATTTGGCTGTTGATCAAATTTTTTCAAAAAAGGAACAAAGAGTACAATGTATATCAATTCAATGGTCAGCCGGTGCATCTCGAAAGAAAAATCCCCACATATTGTCCATTCAACACAGTATTAATCTTTTTTACAGTCGATATGACACTAATCAGATCAATTCTTCTCAACTTCTAAAAGGTGTCGCAGAGGTTGTAGCAAAGAAAAATAAACAAAGATGCATACATCTGACCGAAGTTTTTTTCAGCTCCACATTGATTACTGCATTATTCTTTCATTATTGTCTTCGTTTAGATTTTTTTATAGTTGCTCTAGTTTGAAACCTTAATAAATTCTTCATCACAACACTATAATATGAAATTTCTCTTTACTATTCTCCTATACGAATTTCGACCTTTTTAAATTTCTACCTTTTAATATTTCGACATTTTTATTTTCTATATTTTAATTTCGACATTTTATTCTTTCGACCAAATTCAGGTTAAACCATCCACCCACATTCACACTCCAGTTAAATACTGAGTACGAAATTATTTCGTATAACCAAAGTAGACTAAGTGTTTTATCCAACAGAGATAAAGTAAAAAACAAATACAATCAACCATAAACTTCGTTTATGACTAAATCAAAATGTACTTTCAGGCTAAAATACAACTTGGATTCTACATCAAATGATTCCAACAATAATTATCATAGAAATATAAGAAATTTATTGATATCAACGCAAGAATATGATCATCGCTCACATTATTTTAGAGACACAAATACATTTGGATAATAAGGATAGTTATCTCCAGCCTTCAGGTGTTTGTGAAATTATTAATGGTTATTCAATAGATACATATAGAAAATTGATTCATACACTCAAATTCATTATAACAATCAAAATAAAACAGATAGTGAAAACAAAGTTGATCAGGTCAACAGATGAATGTTACTATACGATTCATTTGTTTGTGTCGTGTGAGATTTCTTTTCTTTCTATCCTTCTAATGAAGGAAATAATGTGCGTAATATTTGTTAGTTGCATCATTTGATAAAAATATATCAATAGATTTTTTTCTCACCTACTCGACTGACTAGATTTTTTATTTAAATAAAATCTCTATTAATCACATCTTAGCATTAGACTTGTTTAACAACAAAAAAATTCAGTTAGAAAACAATTTAATCTAAGAAAAATCAGCGATCAATTTCAACTAAAATCCGTTGCAGATAATCGTCGCTGTTTGACAACACTTAACTCAAATCGATATTGAACAACTTCTGAATGATTATTTGGCAATGTTTTACATAATTGTTCAATTGCTTGTTCAGCTGATATCAATGATTCATCATATCGTTTTAGTCTGACAAAAGATCTAGAAAGATCCATATAAATATAACCAATTTGTTTGTCATTATCCGGTAATATTTTCAAGGCAATGTTAAGTGTCTTTTGATAGAGAACAATAGCTTCCATATTCATATCCGATTGAAAATAAGCTCTAGCAGTTCGATGATAGATAAGCATTAATGAAGGATCATCTTCTGATAAATGACATTGATATAATTCAAGAGCTTCTTGATAATAGATTAATGCTTCTTGATATTTTTCTTGTCCTTGAAAAATATATCCAACATAATGGACATATGCTGCCAGAGTATTAACATCAGTTTGAAGGATTTTCTTCGATTGTTCAACTGCTTTGAGAGCAAATTCTAAAGCATTTGACCAAAGCGATAAACCAACATAAGCTGTGGAAATATTATGATAACTTTTAGCAATAGAACCATGATCATCAGATAATGAATTTTGTTCGATTTCTAATGCTTTTATGTAATTAGGTAATGCCTCTTCAAATTGTTCTTGATCATGAAAGGTTTGCGCAATAAGATTATAAATTTGAGCTAACGATGGATTGTTCGGTAAAAGGTATTGTTGTTGGATTTCAAGTGCACTTTTAAAATGAGTCAATGCTTGTTGATATTGCTTTTTTGAAAGGCAGACAATGCCGTCTTTTATTGAAGACTCAACTAATTCTGATCGATCTAGTTTAGTAATACTTTTTTTTGTAATGAAGCACTTTTTTCGCGATACGAATCTGAACAGAAAGAAAAAGAGAATAAAACTAGTTGAAAGAGTGAATCTATAGTACTTACTAGATTGTTCGTAATCACCCTGTTTGTAGTAAATTGAACTAATTAAACTGTAAGTTTTTCTAACAGATGAATCATTTTCACCAAAATGTCCTATTTGTAATTCGAGAGCACGTTTGTAATAATCTAGTGCCTCACTGTATTTTTCTTGATTATTATAAATTGACGCGATATGTTTCATATAAGTTATAATGGATGATACATCCGGATTAGCTGAATTTACCTGACAATCCAATGCCATCTGTTGATATTCCAACGCTTTCGTATAATCATATAGTGCGTCATATACAACACCAATATATGAATACGTTGGTGATAATACTGGATGATTATCCGGTAGATCACTCATATGAATACTGAGCGTTTGCTGAAAATGTTCCAAAGCCTTTTTGTTTTGTCCTCGACATGATAAATGGAACCAAACGTATGATGAACACCAGCAAGTATCATTGGATTAGCAGCTACTCCAATATCATCATGAAGCATCTCAGCAAATTGCTCAATGCAACTGTATTCTTCTAATTTGTGCATTAATCTTAGAAGTGATAGGAAAGAATGAAATGAACGAGTTTGATTACGAGTCACTTTTGTATATTCTTCTAATTGTTCATCAACATCATCACTTAATGTTAATTGAACGCAATAAAAATCTTTCTCTTTCTCAATGCGAACAATACGAAAGACACTACCCATTGCAAAAAGAAGTTCCTGTTCATTTTCCTCCCTTTGCAAATAAGATATTTGTTCAATATTAATAAATGGAAATTTTTGTATTGTTGGATCGATTTGCATTTGAAATAAAACACCATTTTCCGTTCCCCAGAGAAAATTTATCGCAATATCTTGTTTAAGTGAAGTTGATAAAAAATTATTAAAACTAAGAAATCCACCAACATTTTCTTTCAGTTTATTAATTTGATCAAGTGATACATTTTGACCACGATAGACAGTCATTGATGATAAATGTTGACGTTGTTTTGATGCTTCAGATAAGATTTGATAGTAAAGATGGCGAAGAAAATATCTTAATTTATAAAGAACATCTGGTTGTGGTGTATATAATGCTTCGTTTAACATTTTATAGAGAAAACATTCTTTAACGTACCAATAGATGGAAAGTTCTGGGATAAAATCTCTTTCGAATTCGTCTAAAACAAGAATTGTGTTTGGACAATCAGCATAAACTTTCCGAGAATAAGATAACATATCTGCTTTAGTTTGTTCTTCTGATTCGAAGAGGTGATCTTTTAAAATAATATCTTTTACTAATTGAAAATACATAAACGATGGATCATGTCGATTAACATCACGTGAATTTATATCCGAAGATGAAACAAATGAGATTGTAAAAGAATTATTATCTTTTTCCTTTTGAATTATATCTTGTTTAAATCGATCACAAATTAATGTTATATCATTAAAAATTTCTTTTATTTTTTTAAAATCTTTTGTCCATTGATCATCTGATGATTTATTTCCATGAAATATATAAATTGAGTCAACTTGTTCGAAAGGATGAATTGTAGGAACAATAAATCTCCCTAATATATTTGAAGTAATAAGAAATATTTTCGCGTCTGTGGTGTTGGTAATATAATCTACACAGTAATTCGAGTCATTGAAACTGACAAAGGTTTTCATAATAGTTCGAAGTTCATCTTGAGTATCAATATATTCGACTGATCTGATCAGTCGATTATCAAGCCAAACACAGACAATTCTTTGATCTACGTTTTGCTCAGTCATGATTTTAGTTATGAAGAATATTTCACATACAGCTTTTTTCATCGGGGAAAAAACCAAGGTAAAAAAAACAAACATACTGCCTGTTTTTTCTTTTCTCTTGAAAAGAAATTATTTATTGACTCTTAGTGTAATAGACACGTGCAGTCGAAACGAGAAAAATGGTTAATAATGAAGAATGGAAGAAAAATGAATCATCAAACTTTCTCAATGAAGAATATTGACTTTATGCATTGTTTTACCAATGGTTTTGTTCAAGTCAGGGGCAGCGCGATGGGGTAGGGGGAGAGGGGGGTACCCCCTGCGTTTGAAAAAAATATGACTAAGATACTCCGATTGTGCGATCTGTTTTCTCCGATTTTGGGATCTCTTTTCTCTTGTTTTGGGATTTCCTTTCTATGGCTTTAGGATGTGTGTGGGTGTGGGTGTGGGGTGGGGGTGTGAGTGCGGGGTGTCGGTGTGAGTGTGGGTGTGAGTATGGGTGTGTGGGTGTGGGTGTGAGTGTGGGGTGCCAGTGTGAGTGTGTGGGTGTGGGTGTGAGTGTGGGATGCCAGTGTGAGTCTGGAGTGTCGGTGTGAGTGTCAGTGTCAGTGTTGGGGCTCGTTTCCTCAGACACACACATATCCACCCACACCCACACAACCACGCCAACCCCGACCGTAACCCAACGCTGTAGCGACC